TGTGCTAATCCAACAGCCAGTCAATTTCAAAGAACCTCTAGAAAGTTGTTCTGTGTAAAGCTACTCAATTCAGGAACTCAAAACTGCGAGAATCACATGGATAATATGCTTCTGCGAGTATCTGATGTCATTAAAGAGGATACAAATTCATTCGTAGCTCATACACATCCCCATACATCAAATTTTTCAGAAATTGATAGCAGTTATCAAAAAGACTCCACGTTAGAAACGAATTTCGAAAGGTATTTTGCGGGTTACCTAATGAAAAAATGCCTATCTATACATTTTTGTACAATTTGCGAGGAATATTCAAAAGCCTATCAAAATTTGGACGATACATCTTTATTTTGTTACTATAAAGCAGTGGTCGCCAATCTCTCAATGTGTTGAGCTACTTTCTTAATTTTGGAATAAACAGCGAGCTACCCACACGGAAGCCACGTAACCCAACGTAAATGAAATAATCCACAGTTAATGATATTTATTTTACTATTTAACTGGTAATACATAATACATAGGTAATAATAATAAACTAATAACAAAATAACTAATATTACTAGTACGTACTTGTTCATAGCTACATTCCTACTTACCAAACGAAGGTGTTTGAAAAATAAACACAAACTTTTATCCAGCCACAACGGCATGTCACGTAAGATTTAAAAATAGTTAATAATAACAACAAAAAAGTAACGCACTATCATGAACATAAACATTGAAAAATAAAAAAGCACGTTCAATGAGAAGGCTGACACTCAGACTCATCGATAATTTTTTTAATGTTTGCAGTATAATTTGATACAGCCATTCGAATACAATTATTCAAATGTTCATCTGTAAGTCGATTGCGATATTTGTTCTTAATAAACTTCATATTGGAAAAAGAAGATTCACACAAATAGGTTGAACTGAATAATGCTTTCACTTTCAAGGCAACACGGCATAGAACTGAATATTTGTCTTTACTTACAATAGGCCAGATACATTTGGTACTTGAGACTAACGATTTTAAGGCTAAATCATTTTGAAACTCAATTACTTCCATTTCTGTTGCAGCGATGTCTTCGCCAAAGTTCTGCATAACACAAGTTGCAAACTGTTGGATAACAATTTCCATAAAGGGTGAAACAACAAACTGCGCTACTAAAGCCATTTCGTGAAATCCTTAAAACGATTTTTGAAGTTATTCTTCAGGGTAGAAACTATTTCTACATGATATTTGCTGTCATAGGGTTCAAATGGATTTTGAGATATTTTTTTCTGAAAGAATAGGAAAATGCTTGGCATCGCTGTAAATTAGGTTTTGTTCTCAAAACTCCAGCTTTTTGATAAATGCTTTTATATCAGAAATCATTTCGGCTAGTTCTTTGTCTCTCCCCTGAAGCTGCAAATTAAGTTCGTTTAATTTCTCTGTAATGTCCACGAGAAAACCAAAATCTCTAAGCCAGATTGAATTTTCTAGTTCCGGAGTCGGTTCATCGCGTTGTTTGAAAAATTGAACTATGCCAGATAGGACATCATTAAAACGTTTCAGCACCCGTCCTCTACTTAACCATCGGACTTCAGAGTGAAGGAGTAGGTCCCCGTAATCGGCCAAGGTTTTGAATAATCTTCTTTGTAACGCTTGAGCTCTAATCTTGTTCACAATTTTTACCACCAGTTTCATAACGTTGTTTAGTTTCAGGAAATTTCCACATAATGCTTGCTGATGGATAATGCAGTGGTAACAGAGAAATTGCGGAAAAGTTTCATCTTTACGACATAACGCCACCAGACCCTTATCACAACCCACCATAGCTGGAGCGCCATCGGTTGTCAAGCCTACCATTTTCGATATTGGAATTTTCTCGGAAGAAATAATATTTTTTAAATGAGAAAACAACTCCTGTCCAGTAGTGTGTCCTTTCAGTGGAATAAACTTCAAAAGATCTTCTTTAATCGTAAAATCACTAAAAACACGGCCATCTGGGCAGTGTCAACGACATCTGTTGATTCATCCAGTTGAAGTGAAAAATAAACACAGTTATCTAAGTCAGTTCTTAACTGTAAAAAAATATCATTGCCCATTACTTCTACACGTCTCATCACTGTATTAGCAGAAAGTTGCATAGATTTTATAGCTGAAACTATCTCGTCTTTATTTCTAAAGTTGGCAAATAACGAATCAGCAGCTTCTAAAAACGCCTGTTTTATCATTTCCCCGTCTTCATAAGGTTTCTTTTTTTGTGTAATTATCTGGAACACACGGTACGATGCTTCAGTTGCAGCCTTATTTTTGTCGACTACTGTTCTTAAAAATATTGATTGTTGTCCAATTAACTGCTTTTTTAACTGTTTCAGTTTCTCCTTTCTGGCGGCAGAATGTAGTGGGAATGATTTTTCAAAATTAGAATGTACAGTTTTATGATGTCTCTCAATATTTCCTTTTTTTAGCAACGGAGACCGAAGTATTACCTCACAAACACACATTTTTATCTTTAACTTCTGTAAAAAGTATTGTTCTTCCCATTCCGAATGAAAGGGATATGTCTTTACCTTCTTACAACTGCTTGCCATATTATTTTTTGTTTTCCTCTACTAACCCAACCGCTGGACGTTGGTTACGCGTTCAGTTTTAAACTAAGTTCAATGTCGCCGCGCCGTGCGTATTTATCCCGTTCAAAGCAATCCTGATCGTTCTCGAACACTAATGCGCTGGTCCGGCTGGTCGGTTCTAGCCGATTCTAGCTTGATGGCGTCAGCGGCAGATCGATCACCGCAACGTTGCCGCTGTTTATGTTTAATATTATGACAATTAGATTTTTTTTTGGAATTTTCGGAAGTTTCTCTGATTTTTGCAGTTTGTATTTTTTAAATTAAAATCGTTGTGAGAGCTACCAGAATTGCCTCCGCGAGCTACCGGTAGCTCGCGATCGACAGGTTGGCGGCCACTGCTATAAAGCTTATAACAGCTCCAATATAGATTTATTTGGTAACTTAAACATGCCACACAATGATTTTGTAAAACTTATCTCCTTTTTAGAGGTAATATTTCAAATAAATTTTGGAACTATTATTATACACAAAAATGTAATGGATACGTTTCAAAGTATTTGTAGAAATACAAGTTTTTCACATCCATGTTAAAAATTTCCACATAATTATTTAATAAAATTATTCGGTAGATAAGATTATTTTATACTCTTAAATGTATTAACCGAAATTTTAAAACTATAAGACAAAAAGGTTGTCATTTGGAAAGATAAGTAAATATTTTTTTATATATATAAATCTTTTACTTACCTATATTTGTAATGTATGAACTTAAAAAAATAAATCAATAGCTACCCAATATTTTTTTTATTTTCCTGACCTTTTTTCGGTGCGCCTATGGAATACAAGTAATAACTAAAAGACGAAGTCATAGCTCGTCGGCATCAAATACAAAGGAATTAAATGAGAGATATCCTTCTGGTGATTAGTTATTCTTGTGTCTATACTAGCTAACTTGGGTACAGGGTTGCCAACCGGTCTTTACCGATTTACTCTCAAGAACTTTTCCGGATTACTCACAATTACTCACAACTTAAAAATATCAATATTACTAGTTTTTTTTTTATATAAATGCTATATTTTGTATTCGTGCACTTTTGATTGAATTTATTTTACTACTGTGCAATGTTGCCAAACATCAAAAGAGCAATTTTCAGAACATACAAGAGTCAAAACTGATGCACCTTTTTTCTGTGCATTCACTATTTTAATAACCAAGTAATGTACAGGTTGATTCATAACTATTGGGACATAGGCACAGGTTATTTGGACAAAAATTTGGCGATAGTACCAAATATACCTTAATAAAATATTGCTGTGGAATAAGATACAGGGAGTTAAATTTGAATTCTGTTTTTTCGTTTTTTTCTGATGTCACTGTATATTTATGAATTGTTATCAAAATTGGCACAAAGGCATATTTTTTGACAAGGAATATTATTTTATGTATTATTTCACATTTTGTTACAGGAGGCGCCACGTGAATTATTCCTGATGATGAAATTAAGTGGTAGCTTTTTTTACGAAACTTTTTAGTATTTTTGATTAGATCATTTCACCCGTTTTCGAGAAAAACGCAATTGAACAACTCCCAAAATATTTCATTTATGAAAAGTTGCTTTAAAGTGTCAAATAATTATTACCTACTATTATTATTTAACGCCCTGTATCTTATTCCACAGCAATATTGTATTAAGGTATATTTGGCCCTATCGCCATATTTTGGTACAATGGTACAAATAACCTGCCCTTAGCCTATGTCCCAATAGTTATGAATAGTTATGTATGAAATATATAAAACTTCTTTGTAATCAGCTGAACAAAAAACACAGATAAAAAGGTTTGGAGAATTAGAGTATCTTCTTTATTAACGGGCCAAATCATAATAAATAATTAATTCTAATACTTAAAAAATCTATTAATAAAAAATATACTTTTAAAATGAACAAAAAAGGTATTAATCAACGATTGGGACAGTTCCAATGGGACTATCACTATCGACACGACACCTAGTGTTGTAAAATATCAAAATCACTTTTACTCTATTACATTGACCAAGCAATAGAGGACGCTGCAATTTTAAAACTACAAAATTGTAATGACTGCTAAAAGTGCTAGGGTGGTAAAATTAGGCTTATATTAAAATTTTTAAAAAGAACACGGTTTTAATAAATTATCCGATCAGGATTTTGCCTAATACCATGAATATACCCATGCTGACTTCTCGAATACTCACATATTACTCACAATTGCCCTTTACTCACAAAATTACTCACAGAGTAGTAAATTACTCACAAATGTGAGGAATTACTCACAGATTGGCAACCCTGCTTGGGTATAACAGCGGGCGCAAAGAGACATCGCCAACTTAGTTTCAGTACTGTTTATTTTGGGCAATAATGTATATCACAGGCACACGCCAAAACTATGAATTGAACAATGTACTTACCTATATACTATTTATTAATTGTAAAAAAAAAACGAAATATGAATGAAGGAAATAAGTTTTAGGTATCATTAAATTGTAAATTAATTTTAATTAAAATAAAAAACGTTATGCTACACAAATAATATTAATTCTATATATTTATATCGTTATTTCAGCTGACTCCCTAGGATGATCAAAGGTTATTCCACTTTCATTTCCGAGAGGATTAAACATTTGCGATTTTCTGTGAAACAGTGTGGTTCTTCGCCCTTCAATCATAGCAATTGTTTTCCTTGGAATTTGTTCTGTAAACAAATGATATATTTATACTCGTATTAAAATAATTAATATATTTGGAAGGATAAGGAGCTAGGATTCAAATGAAATAAATGCAAGCACTAGATCAAGGTGGTGGTATTGGGGGGCCCTACCTCTTAAGAGCTTTTAAAAGTCCCAATTGTTTATTAAATTCCAATCATTACGTAATCATTTTTGCGAATAATACCAAACGTGCATTTTTTTCAAATGAATTATTTATTGTTTTTGGGTAGGAATTTAAAATAGTCCAATAAAATATACCTTCAAATAAAAATTTTGGAGGAAATAAAGGAATTTTTGATATGTCTAAAAAATTTGTTTTTCAGGCCTCGAGAAGGAATGAAAAAATATTTTTTTAAGGTTATTTAAAATCGGTAGGTGCTATAAAACAAGTTTTTAAAAAAATGGTAAAGCATAATATTTTGAGTTTTTTGTTATTATTAAAATTAGCTGAGTTAGGATGGTTAGAAGTTAAGGGACAATATGTATAATTTTAAAAAATCATAGCGATCTGAAAATTTAATGAATTTGTTTCTTTTTAATATTTGCTCAGACACTATTTAATAAAAAGTTATAACAAATTTAATTTTTTAATTTTCGAATATACGACCTTATGACTCGCCCGACATAAAAATATGAGAGGTGTACTGATAAAAACGTCCTCACTTGAAGTTCTATTAAATAAATAAATGAAAATATTTATTTTTTATTTATTTTAATTTAAATTTATATAAATCTATATAAATTACTTCAAATTACAAATGACATAATTGACATTTTCTTACAATTTTTTATACAATTTCATAAAATTTGCATTGCCAGATGATCAATTTTTAATTTAGAAATAGATAGATACCTTTACCTTTATAGATACTGTTAGGTATTTACACGTTTTTTCCTTAATTTATAATAATTATTTTATGTTGATATTTCTCATAATTAATTGGATGCTAATGACCCTTAATATTTTTATCAAAATAGTTTAATTTATTTTTGTTGTCAATATATTGGGAATCACTCGCTTCGGCGCACATCTGTGCTTTTGTAGAAGACATTTTTGGATTTTTAACAGCCGAGTACCGTATGAACCGCTGAAGTGTTCGCATTGAAAAATCGAAATATTTTGTTATTTTGTTCGTCGGTGTTCCGTTTTCCCAAGAAGAAAACGTGTGGGGCCCCCTTCAAGAATTCCAGAACGCAGACATACCACTAGGTGAGTCTCCTTAAAATATTGGTTTCTTCAGATTTTTTGTTATTTAAATTTAATTATTTAAACGACCGCCTAAAAGGAATTAAGGTTCTCTTGCAATCCAGAAACTGAGCTATATCTAAGGGAAAAATCAGCATGGTCCTTCGAGCCGGATTTGAATTTTTTGTCGCTTTTGGTAGAGTTTTAGAAAATTAATTTTTTAAAATCTATTTTTTATTTAATTTTCTGCTTAAAATTGGGAATTTTGAGTTAAATCATTGATTTTCGTCAAAAGTTGAATAGTGGGAAATTAAATTGGCTTAATTTTACGCAAAATTACAAATCATTTGTCTTAATTTTTAATTTAATATTTTTTGGAGAAGCCGGCAATTTATTTAGCCATTTTGAATTGTTCCGACCAGTACACGAAGCACGTTCCCTGGTACGCAAAGTGATCTATTGACTCTTTTATGCATGTCCGTCTGACCAAAGGTATATTTATCACATTTCTTTCGTTTCGTTCGCTTGATTAAAAATTTTTACCGATTGATTGAATCTACTCGAATTTCGCAATTGTTTGATTTTGTACCAGTGGCGTACCGCAAAACTAATACTTTAATTTTTATTGTACCTATTTGATTTAAAATGGCGGACATATTACGTCGTTATATTGCATTACGTCAAAGTTGCTTGAATGAAATCAATATTATTCATAAGTTGGCCGTTTCTGCCAAAACGGATAAAACTAAACGCACAATTTTTAAAGTTCGTTATAACGCGGTTGACTTTATTAACGAGGAGTTTAATAAATATCATTCAACAATTTTAACTCCGTATTCCGCCGACCAAGAAAAAAATTTAGCTGATGAAGATGCCGAGAAAACTGCTTTTAATGATCTTTATTATGAAATAAAAGCGGTTTACACCGATTTCTTCGAAGCGGATTTAAACGCTTCTACCCGGTTATCGAATCAATCTGGTATGATTTCACCGAATACCTCGCATGTCAAACTTCCCAAAATTAAAATAAACACATTTTCGGGCGATGTTCGTGATTTTCAAAGTTTCAAAGATATGTTCGATGCGGTAGTGCATACAAATAATTCTTTAAAACCGGTCGAAAAGTTTAACTATTTAAAATCTTCATTGAAAGGTACGCCTTTGGACTTGATTAAACGCTTAACGGCTACTGCTGAAAATTATCAAACCGCTTATGACTCTTTAGTCAAACGCTACACCAATCCGAGAGCTCAAGCGAAATCTTATTGGTTGGAAATTGAAAATTTCCCTCCTATGAAATTCGAGGATCCCGTTGAGCTTCGAAGATTGTTGGATACATTCTCTATTAATTTGGAAAGTTTAAAAAATATGGGAATAAACACAGATTGGGATTTTATTTTATCGCATATGTTAATTACCCGTTTAGATCAGGAAACCGCTCGCGCTTTTGAAAGAGATCACGGATCTACCTCGATTCCTGAATATCGCACGCTGTTTAATTTTTTGGAAGATCATTGTAATGGGTTGGAAAATGTACGTCCGCCTGCTAAAAATGTTTATAAGAAACTTTCGCCATCTTATATTCCGCGCTCTAAAAATAGCTTTTTCGCTCGCACGCAAAATCCCAGACAACACACCAAATCCCAGAGATATCCACAGAATATATTTTGTGGATATCCAATATATCCACAGGATATCAGAAATATTCCGTGGAACTAATATAGATATCCAAATGTCCGTCTATATCCAGAATATAGAAGATATCCTATGGATATTCAGCAAAATATCTAATGAGTATCTCCAGACAATACAAGAAATCCCAGATATATCCATAGAATATATTTTGTGGATATCCAACCAAATGTCCGTCTATATCCCAGGATATAGAAATTCAGATAAATATTTTATAATTATTTTTAGTAGAGGTTCATAAGTAACCAATGGTTATTGAATAACGTCGAAAGAAAATAGAGGTAAAAAATATTCCCAACAATCTGCCTTTGATTTTGCCTACTAAGGAGAAAATCATCCTTATTAGGAATCTTCAGGAATAAATGGAACTTCTCTACTTCAGTCTCTAATGAAGTCTGTTTGTGAAACAATGTCGATCAAACTCAATTACGGCGGGTTAAGCATGAGTAGATACGAAAGTGGTATCGCCATCTATACTTAGGAAGCAAAATCAAAAATTACATCTAGTAGATATCCACGATGGTTTGCGTCCGCGCTTAGACTTTGATATATTTATATTTATAGTGGATGTCCATGGGATATTGAATACACCTTAAAAAAAATTAATTTTAAATATCTCAACGGTACTATTAGCCACAATGGCGAGTACAATGGCGTAATTTTTTAATAATTTGCTATATAATTACAATTATTTATGGACATTTGCATGTCTATAAATTACATTTCATGGATATAAAATAGATATCCACCATGGACTGGACATTCAGTGGATATTGGGATGTTCAGTAGATATCCAAAGGATTTGGTGTGCTGTCTGGGATACATGCATTTTATGTTCCGATAATCATCCTTTATATCATTGTTCAACTTATTTAAATAAATCTCCTGGAGATCGCCATTCCTTTTGTAAAAAAACATCATCTTTGTTTTGGATGTCTAAGTAGCTATCACAATTTAAAAACCCATTTAGATACCTTTATAGATACCTTTATATATACCTTTATAGATACCTTTATAGATACCTTTATAGATACCTTTATAGATACCTTTATAGATACCTTTATAGATACCTTTATAGATACCTTTAAAGATACCTTTATATATACCTTTATAGATACCTTTATAGATACCTTTACCTTTATAGATACCTTTATAGCCCAGACAGCACACGACATCTTAAAGACGTCTGTTATATGTCGTAGTTATGACTGAACGCCTAAAGACCTAAAAAAGACGTTGTAAATACGTCTTTATAAAGACGTCTTTTAGGACACATAAATAGACGTCTTAAAGACGTCTTTTAAATGCCTACCTATTTAAAAAATATAAAAAATAATGGTAACATTAAAAAAGTACTGGTTTCTAATTTCACAAGATACCTATAAATTTATTTTTAATTTTTTTTTATTAATTTACTTATTTTTTATTTATTCACGAGCATTTGTTCATTAGAGTAAGTAAATATTTGATAACATAAAAATAATAACAATAAATATAACTCTAAATAAAATTAACAATTAAAACATGAGACAAATTGAATTAAGCGCTCTTTCACCTTAACCGGGAACATGGTTCATCGATCGAAGCGAATGTTTTTATTATGCTTTGTCTTTTTTCAACAGTAGAATTTAAACAAGGACATGGATCTGAATGTGAATATTATTGGGGTTCCGTGGTTCGTGGCGTTCTGCGTTGTCCTTTCGTTGTCATTTGTTGTTGATGTTTGAGGATAAAAACCGAGAGGTATGGAGGGTAGAAAAAAGGAGGACAATCTTATATGGATCTTTATATTAAAAAGTGGCCACCAAAATGTATGCAATTAAGATGGCGCTCGTGTAGCCAGGGGACAAAATCCAATGCTATATAATCATATAGATTGCTCATTCATAAGAATTATTTATTGTTTATATTATTATTTTTCAATAAAATTTGACTATTGTCGTGTATTGTCAAAATTTATCTACGATCACAGAACACTTACTCTTCTACGATCAGTCACTTTTCACGGTGTAGTTTTTTATGGTTGAGCAATATTTATTACTATATACATCATTGGTGTCATTGTGTGATCTGAATTATCGACTGTCGACGTCCCCTGGGCACAGA